GATTTTCAATCTGTGTAGGCATGCGTCAGCAGTTCTGGCAAGTGCACCACGCAGGCTGCCCTCGATGAGGAAGATGGTGTCCTGGCGTCTCTTGCCGAAACTCCAGGATATCCAGCATCACCCCTGGAAGACGGGTCACCACTCTCTCGAGAATATAATCTCCTCCTGGCTCAGGTGTTGTAAAGCTGTCTAGAAATTAAAGAACATATGTTTACATGACTAGATTCATATCTCCAGTGAGTGATGTTTTCGTTTTTGGGATCTCTCTATTATTTTATTTTATTTTTTTACACAAATGGCTACAACCAACCTGCATCTCAGCTATACTGGCAGCTCTCAGCTGTGCAAGCCGGTCTCGGTCCTCTTCTCTGGAAGCTGATGTTCGCTGCCTACCCCGGCGCCCTGGTCCTCTTGAAGGAGCTCTGGACCTCGACCTGCTGCCCTCACCCCTTGAGAGTGTCCTTCCCCGACCCTCGGAGCGACCTTTTCCTCTCCCCTTTCCTTTAGCACCTGGTCTCAGACTTTCCCACGACACATCAAAGTCTGTGGCAGGCTCAGGCACTTACTCTTCATCTGAACTGTCTTCCATCACTCCTTCCAATGTGAATTCCTGAAAATCAATGACAGTAATGATAAAAATGACTGTATTACCCTGTAGGTCTTCTTGATATTATGATTTTATTTAATGCATTTTTTTAACTAAACATTTACATTGTTGTGATGCCTGGCCTGTAATGAAATTGGTTTCACAAATGATGTCAGTGACTTGAAATTGGATGTTCTTACATGATGTATAAACAATAACATTAGCTTGTTAGTAAGCTTAGTGCAAAATAATAACTGTAACTGGTCTAAAAACATCAGAAATCACCTGCAGCCACAAAGCCTTATGCTGATAAAGTAGCATCATGTTACTGTCTTGCTAACCAGTCACAAAACTGGCTTATGAATATTTCATAGGAAGGAGCACTTGCTTTACATCACGAGTGTCATGGCTAAATTAAAAAGCTAATGTTGTCATGGAATTTTACAAATATTAGACTAAAGTAACAATGTTACTTACTTCATCGCTCGACACGGTGCCTTGTTCGAGCCGCGCTCTGGCCGTACATCACTGTAACTTTTTCTTTTCTAGTGAAGAAGAGTTTGTGCGCGCTCTCGTGCCGGGCTGCAGTTACTCACAGCGCCGAGTGCGTCGCTAATGAGTTTCGTTTCTTCATCCTGCCCCATACTCCTTTAAAATGAGACATTTTGGCAGCACAAAGAACTTGTCAGACACGATATTTATTATAATAATTGTAGGCAGACAGGAGACGGGGCTGGATGGTGGTTCTCAGTCATAGAAGGATGGCCGGAGGCTTTCCAGGAACAGAAGATCTGTAAAAAACAACAGTGTGAAAAGAAAAGACAAAGGAGAGCCATGGCTACCAGATTATTTATTCCTTCTCAGTGATCGGGGTTCAAATCCCGGTCGGGTCATACCAAAGACTTTAACAATGGGACCCAATGCCTACTGCTTGGTAGTCACCTTTAAGGGTTTAATTGGGGGTTAAACTACCAAATAGTTTCAGAGTGTAGCCAACGCTGCAGCAGGTATGAACATTTAGTTAAACATTTCTTGTGGGAGGATAAAAGAGCAAGAATAAAACTGGATAATTGTATGCCCCCAAAGAGAAAGGCTGACTGTGAGTTTCAGACCCAAAGCTCTAATACTTACCATTTGAAATGACAAAATTAGTTAAATATTGGGAGGAAGGTAAATATAAACAAGAATGATTAAATATTGAATCTGATATCTGTTCACCATTTGATCCAAAACACAAACTGTCTCAAACGATGAATACAACTAATCTGGTTATTATTCATTCTTGTGAGGTCTGGTCAAAGGTACATAAAATAATGTAACTTTCACATCATGTTCAGAAGTATGCATCTCTTTGGAATAACCCTGCTATGTGTATTGGTAAAGCACCGGTGTTTTGGGGACAGTGGCACTCACGTGGAGGTATATGTAATATTGGAGATTTGTAGACTGGTGTCTTGGAAGTCTTGGGTGCATGGTCTGGTACAGAAGTCCCTCAGACCCCAGAACTGTGTCTACTGGGAGACAGATCCCAAATGCCGAATGGTTCGAGAGGAATCTTCTCCGTTATTATGGTTGGACTAGTGACAGCATCCAGGATTACATTAAGACATTGGAAGACTACGGTGCGACCTGAGACTAATGAATGGACTACAGCAATGGCTGAAACAGCTGCCTACGAGGTCATGCTCAGCAACCTGAAACGGGACAAAGACACTGATTGGAGCATACAACACATAAAACGCTGATAGCTAATGTTATACTGCCTGGATTTGGATTTCTGACTGACTCCAAATTAAGTATGGCTACTGGTCTATGTAACTAACAGCTGAACCTGGGACCCTTTGAACCGTGGGTACCCTGGATGGAAAGGGGGGGGGGGGGGGGCACAAGCCTGTGAGTTTCATTTCTTTGTTGTTTTGTACATCTATGTTCTTGTATGTCACAAAAGTTTTGAAAACTTTAATTACAAAACATATATTATTATTTATAAAATTGTTTACCTGGATCAGTTCAGAGCTTGTCCTGTCATTCAGATGGAAGCTGCTCAGAAGCTCTCCACTACACCTGGGTCTTCTCAGGAGTGTAGAAGCTGCTCTGGGTGGAATTCCCATCATGGTTCCAGTGTCAGACACACAGCTGCTGGGAGGCTATGTGAAATATAAACAAACAGCAAATATATTTATAGTTGTTTTTAAGAGCAGCAACATGCATGTAACAATAAGCTAAAATAATGATATAATGTTAACACTAGAAGGTAAAGAGTGACAGATGGTTAAAAATAACTCACCTAGCCTGAACTGGTGCAGGCTGGAGGACTACATCCGTCTTGGGCAGATTTAGCTTGAAAAATATAATAACATCACCTTGTTGTGGGAGTTTAGTAACTTAGATCGTGTACAAAACAAACTGTCTAATATATGTGCTTTATAACATGGCTGGTGAGTGATCTGACTGCTCTCAGAGCTAACTCAGGGTCCAGAATCAGACATGATCTGATGAGAACCGGACTCGGCACCAGTTCAGAACCGGGTCAGCTCTGCTGTAGGAGGAGCTGCTCTTCAGTGTCCCTGCAGCTCTGCATCAGTGCTGATATTACTAACTGGTCCATAAACTCAACCCGAACCAGTCTGTGACATAAACACACACACACACACACACACACACACACACACACACACACACACACACACACACACACACTCGGGTCGAGCCTGCAGCCGTGTGGACTGATTGGCTAAATTACTTGAACCACTTCCACGTCTCTTTGTAATTATAAATATAGCTGCAGAATTACTGGTGGGGAACGATCTTTAGAAGCTGTTAAAGACATTTTTTTTAGCTTACCTCAAAATGGGCCCAAAATCTCCGTTTTGGGGAAGCAGCAGTTGGTGGGATCTGGCTAATTACAGGAAGGGCTTGGACTAATTTGTGAAAGTTGGTAAAAGAGTCACATGAAAAAACACTTAACTACAAAATCTAACAGCCAAGCTACTACAACTAAACAATTATAATACTAGAAGCTTTGCTAGGACTCTGACTCAATGCTAAAGCTGAACAACAGCTAAGCTACAGCATAACTCACTTGGGGCTAATCCGAGTCCCAACTACTACATGGAGTGGCTGAGACCACAATGCTTTTATAACCTACAGCCACAGCGCTGCTAAGTAGCACTGTACCAGCTACGTTGGACTGTACAGTTTCAGTCACTGGCTAACGTAGATTCAAAGTAAGGGGTCGACAGATTTATTGGTTGGTCGATTAATCTGGCCAATATTTAGCATTTATCATCATCGCATCGACCGATAAGCCTCTTTGGTAGAGTCAATTTAAAGTCAGGCACCTCCGCCTGACTCTAACACACAGAATTTCCCTCTGTGTGTTAGAGAGGAGAGTCCTGCAGAGTCTGCATCCCCCCTCCTGGTGGGAGGAGCTTAAGAACTTCACATGCTTCACCAGATCTTATGTGGATGACCTGGTGAACAGAAACACAGGAAAAGATCCGTATATAAATGCAGCTCTTGTTTTTCTGTTTAGCGTGCAATCTGTGGTCAGAAACAGCAGACGTGTTCTCTGGCATCTCCAGACTAACACAGAAGCTGCTGCTGAGTCAAGAGCACTAAGGTTAGTTAATACTGAAGCTGTTTTACAAAAATAATGACTACACATGTCTACAACACTATTAGACACTCATTTATACTAGTTATCAGAAAAAAAGGTTTATTTTGGTGTGACTTGCTCTTTAAGTGATCTTATTTCACCTGGCAGTAAAGGAGACATACTATTATTACTACTATTTATTATTATTATTATTATTATTATTAGTAGTAGTATTATTGTAATTCCTAGCTACCTTATATTGGTTGGAACAAAAGTCATGCAGACAATGAGACTTTCTGCACTCTCACTCTGAATAAAGTTCATCTTAATTGAATCATAAATGACTTTTTAAAACGTGATAATTGCATAATCATCTCTTGTTGAACCCCAAAGTGTCTGAATTAATGTGGAGTGTGTGTATGGTCCATGAACAATCAAAGAAACTGAAGTCTTCTGATTAAACATTCAAAGATCAATCAGATTGATTGGTATTTCATATTTATATGGAACATCACATCTTATTGATCATTTAATACAGATGTAGCCACTCCTTAACGCTACACAGCTGGGCTGCTGTTTTCACTGCACAGTGTGGACTATCACCAGCTGGTGTTTATGGATCCTGGTCATGGGCAGCTCCATCTCTTAGTGCTGTTCAACACATTTGAAATCAGAGCTCAAGAATCAAGTTCTCAAGCAACAACTGACGGTTTAAACAATATTAGAAAGAACTAAAATAATGGATGCAATAGCAGAATCTTTTTGGAGTGTTAGGATTGGTGTCAGGGACAAAAAAACAGCCAAAATAATACTCACCTATGTGTTTGGGCTTTAGAAAAAGCACCTCTCCTTTACAATTTACGTACACCGTGTCAAGACATAAATATGCTACAAGAAAAGAGAGAAAATAAAAAAGGTCAGAAAACGAGTTTATCCCAGTGGAACCAAAATAATTCTTGCATTCCCATTTTCCTTTTCTTTTCCTTAAAAGTGGTAAATCCAACCATTAAAGGTGGGGTAGGAGTTGTTTTTCTGGAGTATATTTAGACATTACGAGTTATGGTCATCGGGAGGTTTGAGAGTTTTCCCAAAGACTGGAACATTTGGCCACACACGCTCTGATCCCCGTTCAGAATGATTGGATCCTGTGCCCTACATCAAACAGCGCTCTGACCTTTCCTCGCCCCCTGCTTGTGTGTGTGTGTGCATGCTTGTAATGCACGGTAATAAGGTAGCGCGACTCGGGCTGCGAATGACCACTGGTGAGCAGATAAAATGTGCCAGGTGGGAGTAAAGTCTTATCAGCGTTAAAAGCTCAAATGCCAAATCCCTTAACTGCTGTTCAACACAAAGCTTTCAAACTTTTTGGACATCTCCCGTGATTTAGTTTGAACATTTTTCCCTCGCAGTCCTTCCAGCTTTCAGCTGTTTGTCCAGTTAAATTAAAGAGATCTAGAGTGAAACCAGCTCCTCCCTCCCTCTGACTCTTTGCTGCTGGTGAGCACGATCAGCGGATCTGAGCACAACTCAGCAAAAGTGAAAGAAATTGGACTAACCTCCTGCTTTATTGCAGTATTATTGTCAAAATCACGGCAGAGCATCAGTTTACCTGCAGTTATTGACTTCTGAGGTAAAACTTAACTTCTAAGAGCAAAAAACAACATATGATCTAATATGGTGTCCCCCAAAGACGCCAGACCCGCTCCATGTACTTTAGACCCAATTTTATGGTTAAATGTTCCAAAGCTGCCAAAATCTTTCAATGACCGGACATCATGTAATTTATTTTCAACAACATTTTGAAGGATATTTCCAGAGATTAAAGGGTAAAAATGCACAGCCCTTCAAATGCAACTTAAATTGCATTCTATACTTAATTATGAATTACTTGTTCTTCTGTGAGAATGTTCAGAAACAGTCATTTAGACAAGAGAAAAGAATATATTGTGAAATATAGCGTTACTCCACGTGCTTCAGAATTCATGGCCATATAGTCCACATGGGTTCGTACATGCTGTAGTTTTCATGAACAGCCTTTTCCAGGAACTCCTGCCGTACCTTTGGATCTTAAATGAACACAAACTTGTTTTTGCAGTGGGGGTTGTTAAATGATAAAGAGAAAATCACCTGGGAAGTCGATATAGGTCTGCAGTGAATCCAGACAGGAGTAACAAAGAGCCCACAGCTCATTCATCGTCAGCCTTCGACCACAGCGAGATAGTAGCTCTCTCAGAGAGATCCACTGGATCCATGAGGAGATAAGAAGAACAAAGACCATGACTAGGATGTGGAAGCTTCTGCTGCTCCTTGGTAGATCATCATTTAGCAGAAGACATTAGAAAAACTTTCATTTTCACCACCGTCACAAATCTCTGAACTCGCCGATAGGTCACGTTAGGGCTGGGTGACATAGCCCAAAATCAAGATCACCTCAATATTCACCTTGATAACGATAAATGGACATAACTACGGGTATGCGCAGAAACAAAAGTTGTCCACTAGATGGGGCTGTTGCATGTGTCATTGAGTCACATTTTTACGTGACTCAATGTGGTACAGCTTCCTAAAGGGACATGAACGTTACCAACCTTCACACATCTTTCATTTTTTTATTATCAAAATTACTGACACGGGAAAAACGATCTCAATAAGAGTCAGAAATGTTGACAAAGATACATTTTCGCTTTATTGCCCAGCCCTACGTCACGTCTTAGAAGGCATGACATTTCAGGGTTTCGCTCCACCTTCAGCAGTTTCCCATCACGCAGATGGAAGGAAGCTGCAAACCTTCCTTAGTAAAGTAATGCAGCCAGTATTTAGAGCAGTCAGCTCGCAAGTATGTTTATTTAGAATGGAGGAGGCATTCTGAATGGCCTATGTTTGGAGAAATAGTTCATATCCAACAAGACCAATGAGCTAACTGCTAATCAGAAATTAGTCACTACCACACAGACCTCATCTCTCCAACTCTTTGAACATTGGTCTCATAAGTAGATGTTCCTACAGGACCTCTACATGGACACACACACTTCGTCTCCACGTGCACACCTGTGAATACCAACAACAGCAGACCCAGTCTGACTAACCTCATCCTGGAACTCCTCATTCAGGCACTGCATGCTCTTGGTCATGTAGTTAAAAGGAACATACAGGCTCTTGTTCTGAATGCTCTGACCCTCACAAGAGTTCTGATCCAGTTCTGCTTCCTGACAGGGACTGAAAGATGGTGGTGGCTCCTGGATGCTGCCGTTAGACTGGTTTTCACTGCTCTCGTGAATGTGATCCACTTCCTCATTTCCTACCGGAGATTCCTCTCTCTCCTGGGTGCAACAGTAAGGGTAGAACTCACACGACTTCCCTCGGTTAAGTCCAGGGAGTTTGTTACTCCATTTCAGGTGTTCATCTGCTCCGATCTCGGTGAGGTCAGAAACAGGTATGCTTATGTCTCCATGAGGTGGAGTGGAGAGACAAGGGGGGTTGTTAGAGTCTGGGACAGAGCAGGAGCGGTTCAGGATTCCCTTTGTTCTGCTGAACCTCTGCTGGGGTTTGCTCCTCACCGGAGAGCTGTTGTGAGAGCAGCAATCCACCTCATGTACCAAGATCAGAGCGTCTGCTTCTCCGACTTCCATATCCTCGGCCCATAAAGACGAGTCCCAGCCCCTGCACACCTGCAGATGCAACACAGGGTCATTAGGTTCTGCTCGGAGGCACAATGCAGCTAAAGCCATTTAACAGGAACATGAACTGTCCCTTCACCTGCTGCCTGGACAGCGTGTTTGTCACAGAGCTGCCAGCTGGCTCTCTGGTCCTATCGTCGGAGTTCAGCCTCTTCAGGAGACTTTTGGCTTTGGAGTGCTGCCATCTTGCCTCCCAGGAGTCTTCCTGTCCATCTGTGGACATACAACAGCAGCAATGAAAGGTGTGATGTTAGACTAGGGCCGATGGTGAGAATAAGAACCTTGGGTGTTTGAAACTGATTCGATGGAGAGAACCCGCCGTCCAACTGAGGACAGTTTCCTGCAGACAGCTGCAGAAGAGGTGTAAGACAGGTGGGTGTCGGCCAGCGACTTGATGTCCTGTAGGGGAAGGAGACCAGAAGGTTTGTAATGTTCAGCCTTCTTTTAGGTGTTTTGTTAGAGAAACAATTCATTTTTATAACATGGAATTGAAATAATTTCATTGTCATAATTTAAAGACATAATTTTTATCCAGTTTGAAAATCCTGTTGCTGCTTTTACTCCACATACCTCCTATAGGTATCCATAATCTACCTAAGGAGCCCTGGACACGTGACGGCACGCCTCTCGGTAACCATCACGGTCACCAGTTCTGAGGATGGGATTGATGTCATCCCCATAGCTCTTTACTTCAAAAAGATGTGGAAGCTTTACCCTAAACACAGCTAACTTTGAGAGGTTTCTGCTTTGATCATCTGGGGCCAGAACAAGCAGCTTAGAGGATGGTCTGCACATGTCTGGTTGGTGAATGAATTCCAGTTCTTTATTCCCAAATCCTTTGTAAAGGGTTAATTTACATCTATTTAATGAACCATAAGACATAAGATTCCATAGGAACTATGAAATCAATCTTATGGATCTTTGGGTACTTTTAACCAGAAGATTGGAACTTTTTATTGCAGTGATTATGTAACACTTCGTATTAACTGAGACAACAGAAGAGAGAGTCACCTTTAAAACGTTTAACTATTAACTATTTCTAAACAATTTTAAACAAGACTAACTCTAAACTCTAAGTGATGAATAGATCTTGGTGTGAATGAGACATGAGATGGATGGTGTATGTGTGAGTGATGTTGTCATCAGAACTCTCGTATCCGGAGAAGCAAGTCTGAATGATGTTGTGATGTTTTGCTCTTAAGCTATGATCGGAGTTTCATAAACACATAAGACACCATTTTGTTGCTCCACACATACCCTTCAGGATGAGTCCTCCGTACAGATACAGACTGCCAGGTCCTCGGACCCCCTTTCGGTACTGGAGCCAATGAAACAGCGTCAGCAGTACGACAGACTAGTCTTTGGATTGTCTCCAGGTAAAAAGCGACAGTTGGTTGACAGCGTCAAATGGACCCGGAGGGTCAGTGAGTTCAGCTTTTATTCTGAAAGGAACCATTGCTCGGTTGGTAAAATGCAACAGATTTTATCGAACTTGTTGGTTCTTTGCTTAAAAAGGAAGTCCGGGTGGCCGGTCCGATACTTCTCTTAGCATGCGGTGAACTGGCTGCATGGTGACGCAGTGGTTAGCACTGTTGCCTCGCAGCATTAAGATCGCAGGTTCGAAACTCGGCTGCGGCCTTTCTGCGTGGAGTTGCGTGTTCTCCCCATGCATGCGTGGGTTTCCTGCGGGTACTCCGGTTTCCCCCACAGTTCACAACATGCCCTACAGGTTAGAAATTGTAAGTCGCTTTGGATAACAGCATCTGCTAAGTGAATAAACATAAACATAAACTGCAGTGAACTGTAGAGAACTCAGAGAACTGACCTAAGATGGCGTGGGGACTGGTTTTATTAATCTGGATGTTTTGATTTATGGACGAATCAAAGTTGGACAGATTTATAAACACCACAGTGACTATGCCACGCTTCAGAAAGGAAGGTTCTGATTGGATGAGTCAAAGCAATGTGTCATGTGTTTACATTACGTGTCATCAGGGTGTCTGGTGCAGCTAGATTAAAGTCATATTACTCATTGAAACTTATTAATCATAACATTGTATTTTCACAGATCGGTCAACATCTTATTATTGACTAACACTTTGTTTGATTAGTTCTTTGATTTATTAAAAGGAAAGAGTCCTTTATCTTCATTCTTCTCTTGGGCTGGAAAGAAAGCAGTTTGGAAGCAAATGCATGACCTTGAGGCAGTCTCATGCATATTAGTTCTGTGTCAGAGGCATCTGAGGAGAGAGGGTAAATAACCTTTGGTGGAAGAGCTCCGTCATCACGTTACATACCCCCCTTTTCAATGGTACGGTGGTTCGTACAGAGACCACCTGGCGTTGAACAAACCAGAGTCTTGAAGGACTCAGACGATAGAGCAGGGTGCAATTCCCCAGGAAGAGGCCAAAAGTGGTGAGGTACGAACCCCACTCCGAAGAACAGTCTCGCATAATCCCTCGGGAAGCACACAAGTCAGCAGATTATCAAGATATCCCCGTGGAAGTAACAATTTGAAGCAGGAGCAAAACTTTATATATCCACTGGTAGGGAATACTTCCAAATGAGCATATTGATCTTTGTAACTGCACTTATCATGATCCAGTGCAGGAAAGAGCAGCAGGAAGGTCAGGTCCCAGCGAGCGAAGTATCCCAGCAGCCATGCCGGAATCCATGAACGTCAAGGTCCTATGAGCCGGAACACCAATCAGGAGGAGTAGAATCCGATGACGAATCGAGGATCATCGACGACACTCAGCAGAGGAGAGAGAGCACAGCACAGGGCACTTCAATGTAGACACAACAGGATGGTGTCTAATGCAAATTAATAAACAATAAGAAACCTGGCCCTGTGAGTGCCTGCATGTACTATGTGTAGCAATTATGTGCATTGCCTTTAAATGAAGAAATGGATGCAATACTCTACGTGTACTGGAAAAAGTGGTGCAAAAAGAACAAAATTAATAAAACCCTTTACTGCGTATGGGAGAAATCACTGCACAAGTAAAAATGTAAATGAAGGGCAAAAATGGTTGTAGCCCATAATGGTAGATTAACAAAGTTAATCATAAAGTTTTCAAAACTTAATCACTGTAGTAAAATTCTATAAAAAGATAGATATACAAGTGTCGAAGAGCACTAAAATGTAAATCAGTGAAGTTAGTAATCAACCTACACGTGAATGTACCCATAAGGAATAACGATTAGTGAAAATAAAAACAAATTTGGATGACAGTAATATGTGGACTAAACTCATCTACTGTTAACTAACTGATTACCTGACTTAAGGAACCCACAGCATGACCATCTCAAATCACCCAAGTCTGCACGTCATGTTTAAACAGGAAAGACAACCATGCACACACACAAACATAGACAAACTTGTGTAACTCGAGATAGAGAACTATGGAGCCGACGAGTCCGGCAAGAGAAATCACTCCACCTTCGAAGTTCTAGCTGAAGGCGCAAGAGGTGCAGGTGGAGGAACCTGGGCAGCCGGTGCTTCAAGAACTGGTGCGATGGCCCGAGATAGGCGCCACCCAACATTGCGGACAGAGTCCCCTAGAAAGGTCAACCGTGCGGAGAAGTGATGGAACAGGAAAAATGATAAACCCCTTGAAAGGCAGAGGTTTAGGCAGAATCAGCAGAGGACCAGGAGTAAGACACTGGTTGAAACCTAAGTCCGGGATCTGCCGACAACTCATGCAGCACCCTGTTCACCACACCCACCTGAACCATGGTTGGACAATCGAATGTAACACGATCCACCGTAGCTGGAGAAAGAGCAAAGGAGATGTTATCATAAAAAGGAGAAAACTCCACTTTAGAAGAAGAAGAAGAAAATATCATTTCTATCGCGCCTCTCAAGATAAAAATCACGAGGCACTTATGCTCACCAGGATCCAAGTAATATAGAGAGACCTCACCTACATGGACCGTAGCACCATACGGAACTGTTACACATAGGGTTTGAGAGGGAAGCACAACTCGTGTAGACACACCATGATGGTCATAGTAAACATCAGCTTCTATAGCAGGGGTATTAAGTAACCAACGGTTACCAACAACAACAGCAGTAGTATGAACATGTGACAACTCATCAATATCACACACATCAGTGGCACCGCCATGCAGAAAAGGTTTACCTGGACACAAGAAGTGTAGGCCATGTGTGAGAGAACCATCGACACTAATATATGGACAATGTGTCTGTGAAGGTTCTCAGTCATCCAGGTCATTGTAGTCTAATGAGCTTTGAAAGAAAAGCGTCTGGACTTCTTTGAGTTGCTTGAAGACGTTTCACCTCTCATCCGAGAGGCTTCTTCAGTTCTAAGGTCAAATGGTGGAGAGTCCCAGATTTAAACCCAGTGGGAGTTTCCCCCCGAGGAGGGAACAAAAGACCCCCTGATGATCTTCTACATAAACACATTGAGGGTGGGTGTGGGTCCTATTCAGCCAGAGTTTCGGGTGAGCTCATTGTGAAACCTGGCCCCCCCCTATCATGTGAATTCCTGAGGTCAGATGGCCCAGGATATGCGTGGGCGTTGAGGCATCTGGGAAGGGATCTCAAAACTGGATTATAGATGGCAGACAGTTGGTGTCGTAAACCACCGCCTCTGTTCAAAGATGGTTGCTCACAGTGGACATAAATGGCTTCCTTTACTCCTCTTTCAAACCATCTGTCCTCTCTGTCCAAAATGTGAACGTTGGCATCCTCGAAAGAGTGGTCTTTGTCCTTTAGATGCAAATGAACTGCTGAGTCCTGTCCCGTGGAGGTGGCTCTTCTATGTTGTGCCATGCGCTTGTGAAGTGGCTGTTTGGTTTCTCCAATGTAGAGGTCTGGGCATTCCTTGCTGCACTGTACAGCATACACCACTGAACAATGTGGTGTATGCTGTACAGTCTGAAGAGCCATTGGGTCCTTCGAGGTCACACGAGAAATCGCAGACCAGACCATGGCCAGGGACACGAGGTACGGAGGGATCCTCCCCATGAGGAGGGTATCGATCGAGGTGCTCAAGTCCCGACCATAGTCGGACAGGCAAGTGGTCAGCATCTGTGTATGAGCATAATCAACATTCACAAAGGAACACAGCTCATTCACAGCGGAAGTTGTTTTATGCAAAATGTAGCTATGAGTGTTGAGTACCACCATAGTCTGTTTTTCAGACGTGCCCAGCTGTCTCAGGGCAGGCCGCTGCTGCAGTACCTGCTTACGCAGAGCCGGATATTCTCTGTTAAGCTCAACAAACGTGTCGACGAACTGTGTTAATCTCAGTTGAGTTGACTGAAGAGTATCCAAAATTTAAAAGATTGCCAATTGTATCAGCAACTGAGAAAAATCCGTCCAGGAAACGCTTTAGCCTAATGCGGGTATCGGATAGGTCACTGTTTGAAAC